AATTCAGATTATCTTGCATGAGATTCTAGCTGAAGGCATGATTTTGAGTGAAACCTTTCAAGTAGCTGCTGTTATTGAGAAGCTACCTCCTGGGTAGAAGGATTTCAAGAACTATCTCAAGCACAAGCCCAAAGAGATGAGTATGGAGGACCTTATCGTTAGACTTCGAATTGAAGAAGACAACAGGGGTTCTGATTGCAAGGCAACAACTTCTGTTGATGCTAAAGCAAATATTGTGGAGTATAAGCAAGGGCAAAACTCCAAAGGCAAAAAGCCAACTCGAAATCTTGGGGCAAAAGGGAAAATCTCTAAGCAGAAATTCCAAGGTAAGTGCTTCAACTGTGACAAAAAAGGTCACAAGTCCACTGAATGTAAGCTTCCAAAGAAGAAGAAGCATGAAGCAAACTTGCTTGATAGAATCGAGGGAGACATGGAAAACATGAACCTGACTGCTATGGTTCCTGAAGTAAATATGATAGGGTCAAATCCGAAAGAATGGTGGATTGACACTGGAGCTACAAGACATGTTTGCACAAACAAAGACTTGTTTACTACCTTCGAAAAAATTGAAGGAGAAAAAATGTTCATGGGGAACTCTGCCTCATCTGCTATTGAAGGTCAAGGGAAGGTGTTACTAAAGATGACTTCTGGCAAAACATTGACTTTGAACGATGTTCTGTATGTGCCAGAAATCCGCAAGAACCTTGTTTCTGGATCGTTGCTGAACAAGCATGACTTTCGCATGATTTTTGAATCGGATAAAGTTATATTATCCAAATCTGGGATGTATGTAGGGAAAGGATATACAACCGATGGGTTGTTCAAATTGAATGTAATGACTATTGTGAATAATAAGAATAAGTCTTCTGCTTATTTGCTTGAGTCTTTCAATTTATGGCATGGTAGACTAGGTCATGTTAATTATGATACTTTGCGTAGACTAATTAACTTGGAGCATATTCCTTCCTTTCACATCAATTCAAACCATAAATGCGAGATTTGCGTAGAAGCAAAATTAACAAGGTCATCGTTTCAAACAATTGAAAGAAACACCGAACCCCTTGAATTGATTCACACAGATGTCTGTGATTTGAAATTTGTTCAAACAAGAGGTGGTAATATATATTTTATCACTTTCATTGATGATTGCACAAAATATTGTTATGTGTATTTGCTCAAAAGTAAAGATGAAGCCTTGGAAAAATTCATTCTCTACAAGAATGAAGTTGAAAATCAACTTAACCGGAGAGTTAAAAGGTTAAGAAGTGATAGAGGTGGTGAATATGAAACATCTATTGATGATGACTGTGCAAAATATGGAATTGTTCATGAAGTAACTGCACCTTACTCACCACAATCGAATGGTGTTGCTGAACGGAAAAATCGCACACTAAAGGAAATGATGAATGCGATGTTAATAAGTTCAGGATTACCTCAAAATATGTGGGGTGAAGCTATTTTGTCAAGCAATTACCTTTTAAATAGGGTACCTCGGAAAAAACAAGATAAAACTCCTTATGAGTTATGGAAAGGTAGGAGACCATCCTACAAATACTTGAAAGTGTGGGGGTGTCTTGCAAAAGTGGCTATTCCAGCACCAAAGAGAATAAAGATAGGTCCTAGAACTGTGGACTGTATCTTTATAGGCTATGCACATAATAGTACTGCTTATCGATTTCTTGTGTATAATTCAGAAATTTCGGATATACACAAAAATACGATAATGGAATCAAGGAATGCTTCATTCTTTGAAGATGTGTTTCCTTGTAAATTGATTGGTGCATCAAGTTCATCAAAACGAACACATGAAGTTATGAATCAAGAAAAACATGATCATGACTTGATTCAACAAGATGAACCGAGACGTAGCAAAAGGGCTAGAGTGGAAAAATCATTTGGAGATGATTTTACAACTTTTCTATTAGAAAAGGAGCTACAAACCTATACAGAAGCTGTAAGTTCTTCTGAAGGATTTTTGTGGAAAGAAGCAATAAAAAGTAAGGTTAATTCTATTTTACAGAATCATACATGGGAGTTAGTGGATCTTCCTCCTGGTTGTAGACCTTTAGGGTCCAAATGGATCTTTAAAAGGAAAATGAAACCTGATGGCTCTGTCGATAAGTACAAAGCCAGACTTGTAATCAAAGGATACAAGCAACAAGAAGGTTTGGATTATTTTGATACTTATTCTCCTGTTACGAGAATAAATTCTATCAGAATGATACTTGCTATCGCTGCATTGAGAAATCTGGAGATACATCAAATGGATGTAAAGGCGGCTTTCTTAAATGGTGATTTAGATGAAGAAATCTACATGGAGCAACTTGAGGGTTTCATAACTCCGGGAGCAAGAAATAAAGTTTGTAAATTAGTCAAATCATTGTATGGACTAAAACAAGCGCCAAAGAAATGGCATGAAAAGTTCGACAATGCAATGATAACTAATGGATACAGAATAAATGAGTGTGACAAATGTGTCTACACTAAAGAAACAGACAATGGCTATGTCATCCTATGTCTTTATGTAGATGACATACTTATTGTTGGTAGTAATGACAAAATGGTCAAGTCTACCAAGGACATGTTGAATTCAAAATTTGACATGAAAGATATGGGGCTTGCTGATGTAATTTTAGGAGTTAAAATTACAAGAATATCAGACGGGTTGGTCTTGAGCCAAACTCATTATGTGGACAAGATTCTGGAAAAATTCAATAAGAATGATTTTGGAATTGCAAGAACTCCATTAGACAATAGTTTTCATCTATCTAAGAATAGAGGAGAGAGTATTTCTCAAGTAGAATACTCAAGAATCATTGGAAGTCTAATGTATTTAATGAGTTGTACTAGACCTGACATTGCATATGCAGTGAGCAAATTGAGCAGATTTACAAGCAATCCGAGTGCTGATCATTGGAAAGCAATTTTAAGGGTACTTAAATACCTACGGTACACTCGGAACTATGGACTGCATTACACTGGATACCCTGCTGTTTTAGAAGGGTATGCTGATGCAAATTGGATATCTGATATAAAAGATTCAAAGTCCACAAGTGGGTATGTGTTCACACTTGCCGGTGGGACAGTATCTTGGAAGTCTTCTAAACAAACTATTGTAGCTAGATCTACAATGGAATTTGAGTTCATTGCCTTGGACAAATGTGGAGAAGAAGCTGAATGGCTCCACCATTTCCTTGAAGACATTCCAAAATGGGAGAAACCTGTGCCACCAATTTGTATTCACTGTGATAGTCAATCAGCAATTGGAAGAGCACAGAATAACATATATAATGGTAAGTCTAGACATATACGTCGTAGGCATAATACCATTAGACAACTACTCTCAACAGGAGTTATCTCTATTGATTATGTGAAATCAAAGGATAACATAGCGGATCCGCTAACTAAAGGATTGAATAGAGAGTTGGTTGCAAAAATGGCAAAGGGAATGGGACTAAAGCCCATGGAAGGCTAAATGTTATAAAGGAAACCCAACCTAGCTGACTGGAGATCCCAAGATCTAGGTTCAAAGGGACAACCTAATTATAAGGACTTAGCGTAGTCATTGTGGGGGGATACCCCTAAACCCATTCCGTAATGAAACAATGACGCAAAGGAGAATTAAGGATAGCACAATGTGTGCTTTAATGATTCTTAAGTGAAGTAATTTATTACTGAAGACTTAAGTAAATCACCTATGTGAGAGTGAAGTGGGGCCGCTTCAAAAGAGAATTGTTTAGGGCTCAATTCTTAAAAACTCTTGCTGAACCAGGTTGATGTTCATGGCCAAAACGAACATAACTATGAGAACTGATCTAATGGAGCATGATTCCTGTGTGAAATATATGGTTCATTTACACTAAAAAGCGAGACAGTTCAAAGACATCATGTCTACTGGATTGCTAGTAAAGTAAGTGTATTTCACAAGAGAAGGTTCAATGGGTAACACCAACCTATCTTATGCAGGTTTCAGTTGTGGAACACTACTGTAGAGTCAAATCAAAACAAATTTTCCATTCATGTGGGGGATTGTTGGAAAAATGGCTATATTCATTGTAGAGTGAATGAGAAAATTGTTCTCATAATGGCACTCTTGAAAGAATTCACGATAATTATCTATCATTCATGTATATTAATTATTGATACATGATTTTGGATAGGATTCATGTGTATTAATTATTGATACATGATTTTGGATAGGATTCCTTTGGGGTTATCTTATTGAGATACATGTATGTACATGAATGTGGTCCTTTGATAAACGTGAAGATAATTATCTGGAATTTAACTCTTGTTGCCAATTTCTAACAGTCACCCTTGACCAGCATCTATAAATATCTCTTTTGTTTCAAAAGCAATAGCGCTCTCTCTCTTTTTCCTTCTTGCATCTGCATCTTTTATAGTGTTCCATATTGCTCTAGTTCGAGTTCGCTGGGGTGAAGAACGTTTGGTGCTGACATATTCACCTTTAATCCGTTGTATCCTGGGAGACAGACGCCTACTCAACCTCAAGCACTCTACTTGGAGGGGGCGAATCTGTTTTAAGGAAATTGTGTTCACAAGCCTCGGATTGTTATTATTGTTATTTTCGATTATTACTTTCTTTTTGGGTTGTATTTATTCTTCTCTTTTGTATCAGCCTATTTTATTATTTGGCTAACAGATAAAAGAGTGGACGTGAAGTTTCAACCGAAGCAAATTGTAACACATATATATAATATATCCCAATTTCGTCAAAGAGATGCAAAGTCAGAAAAAAAGGAACCAATACGTTTGCATCCTAAACCCACGCTAACACGTTACTTAACAACGAAAAGGAATCATTGATTATTAATTTGCTGTTTTTCAGCAGAGACGTCCTTGCCTTAATTAATAACTATTTAATAAATTTACTTCTCAGAAGTGCTAGCTAGACTTTGCCTCCTCCAAGGATCGAAAAAGCCTGACTTGCCAATTTTGCAAAACAACGTTTCAAGCTTTCGTTGGCTCCAATTTCAAACATGTTCCTCAGTTGCATTTGGTTTCTTGAGTTGCTTCTTCTTTCTCTTCTCTTTAACGTTAATTCGGCACAAACCATCGTGAAGAGTTTACCAGGTTACCCCGGAGAACTACCATTCAAGCTTGAGACTGGGTAATCATCAATTATGTATCTTCAGTTCAGTTTATTTTCACAAGTTACAGTGGCTCAATGAAAGGTGACAATTTTATGTTCTTTATATTCAGATATGTGAGCGTGGGCAAAAATGATACCGTGCAGCTATTCTACTACTTCATTGAGTCTGAGAGAGATGCCGTCAGGGATCCTCTTGTGCTTTGGCTCACTGGTGGCATTGGCTGCTCTGCTTTCTCTGGTCTTGTTTATGAAATAGGTACGCGTACTCGGATCACGTGCCTCACACGTTCCTGTTCAAACCAGTTGAGGGCAGAACGGTGACGTTCCATTTTTTTTTTTTTTTTTTAACACCATAATCCTACTTGTTTTTACAAGTAGGTTTGTTTGCTATTTCTTCACTTATTTCCACTCGATCGAGGGTTCAAATTGGTTTGGATTGAAACTTGCATGATCCTAATCCATGTATATTCTCATCCATTATTCACACACTAGGAAATGTATATTCTCATCTATACACTGACAGTGCATGCACTTTCACCGTTAGGTGCATGACACATAATCCAAATTTGAATTTGAAGTCCAAATTTTGCATATGTATGTCGTGCATCCAACCGTGATAGTGTATACAAGATTTACTCTTGATTTAATGTGTGTCTTTCTCCTCAAAATTTAGAAATGAGGTATATTACCCCTTCTCAACATTAATTTTGGTTAAGCAGTTAATAGTTGACTAATTTGACAAACAGGAAATGACAACATTTTTGCAACAATTTACACTATGTTTTTCAAAATTTTGCCCACTACATTTGTTGTTATTTATCATTAGCATTCGCTATCGGGTCTAATAATTTTTAAAAAAGAAAAAAGTATACAATACAGAAGGGCCGGAGTATTAATCCAAGAGGACGTACTACACAAAGATTTTAAGGATAATAGAGTAAAGTAACGAATTCTTGAAGTAATTATCACAGCAGAAGTAATTATCCAACATTATATTATTTAGTGGGTAAGGTCAACAGGACCTCTAAATGGTTCCTAGATTGCCAAAAATCAAGAAACTTCCTGGATTGCTAAATTAGATATTATTGTTGATCACTCAATACATTAATTTGTTCAATTATAGGTCCTTTGAATTTTGATGCCGAATCTTACAATGGAAGCTTACCTTCATTTATTCTGAATCCATATTCGTGGACAAAGGTGAAAAATTTAGCCCAACTTTAAACTACTTTAGGCATGCGTTTCCAGTCATTAATTAGCGTTTTATTCATACTTCGTTGTTAATTAATCCTATATATATGTCTTCTGCAGATAGCCAACATTATCCTTTTAGACTTGCCTGTTGGCACCGGATTCTCCTATGCAACTACTTCTCAAGGTTACCTCTCCTCAGACACTAAATCAGCAAATGACGCTTACATGTTTCTGCAAAAGGTAATTAAAACAAACATCAACATCAACATTACTAGAAATTGATAATTCTATGTTGCTTGCTACTATGTTTTTTTTTTTTTTTTTTTGTCTTTTCATTAATTGGGATAGATGGTTATTACATGACTTTATGCTTAATCATGCTTCCGATCATAGGATGAAGAAATATCATGGGATATGGAAAACCAAAATTGACTCTATTTATGCCCATCAAATTAAATGGATGTTGAAAAAGATACATATAACAAGGCAAATACTCATGATGGTTTATTTATACATGCAGTGGCTGTTAAATCATCCCAAATTTATCAACAATCGCCTTTACATTGCCGGTGACTCCTATGGAGGGAAAATTGCTCCCATGGTCGTTTTAGAAATAACAAAAGGTGGTAATCCTGATTCATGTTTAGATAGTTATATTTAGAAAGATTTGCTTCCACCATGCTATATATATCACCGTGTGTAGGTAATGAGGCTGGATTGACGCCGCATATGTCAATCGAGGTGTGACTCCCTTGAACACAATTTTTTTTTTTCATTATTAGCCATTTAGTCTTGCTAAGATTTCATATAATATGTTGAAACAATAATGTTGTACTATGTTCTTCCAAAATGTTGAAAAAGGGATACTTGATTGGCAACCCTGCAATGAATGTTCCGAAGGATATGAATTGGAGAGTCCCATATGCTCATCTTCTGGCGCTCATATCAGATGAGTATTATGAGGTGGTGCTCAAGTCCCTTGATTGTTTTTGTTAACACTAGTTTAAAGCTGAAATTAGAAAGATTAATGTTATGTTATCCAAATTATGTTATTTCCCAAGATACAAATACTTATACTAACCTTGCTCAATTTTTCCTTTCTATACTAAACCTAACCAATGGGATATTGGGCTCTTTTGGAATTGAAAAGGCGGAAGGAATATAAGTTTTCCCATGTTAATTCAAGGATTTGGACCTGCTGCTATTTGATGCATTTGTCTTTTTTTCAACTTTCTCAAGTTTGAATTCTCAGACTTCTTACTTTTCATACTGTAAATTTACTATCAAATCATGGACTAAAACTGAGATTACATGAATTTCAGCGGGCAAAAAGTAGCTGTGATGGGGAATACATGAATCCAAACCCGAACAATACAGAATGCCAGTTTGCTCTTCAGCTTATTAAACAGGTAACAGCCTTACAGCTGCATTAGCATTGCTGCTGAGTGCTGACTAACCAGCATCTTCCATTATGTTATAGAACACCGAGATTCAATTAAAGCAATTCTTTTTCCTACTGCAGTGTACCAGCGATATATGCCTTTCTCATATTTTGGAACCAATATGCAAATTTAGAGCACCAAAACTACATGGACTCGAATGGGATCTAACATATTTTGAAGAAGATCCAAATGACATTCTCCTCCTCTCATCCGATCAAGAAAATCCAAAGTGTCGCGTAACTTCTTCCTCCTCCTCGTTTGAAATTTATATACTAACTTTTACACATTATTTTTACTTTATAGCATGCTATATATCTTTCCCTGATTTTAAATATTTGCTAAAATCAACTTCCATTGGCATGCAGTTTACTGATTATGTGCTGTCCTGTGTATGGATGAACAACCCAAGTGTCCGAGAAGCTCTTCAAATTCGAAAAGTAAGTTGGTCACGAGGAGGAAAAGCAGGCGTCAATCCTTAAATGTTTTTTAAGTTGTGCCATCTAATCTTGTTTTCTAACCAATTTTTTCTGTTCAATTGCAAGGGCACAAAGGAAAAATGGAAAAGGTGCAATGGGAGCTTACCAATATCATATGACCAAGATGTGACAAGTGTGTTTGACCATCATCAGGTTCTTAGCACAAAAGGATATCAAGCTCTAGTGTACAGGTTAAGGATGGGATATCTGCTGCCTCCTTATATTTGTCACGCTCTTGAATCATCATGCATTTCTTGTTTTGTCTTGTCATCATTAGCCAATTGAATAGCTCATCAACAATATACTTCAATTGCAATGAAAAATATAGAAAATATATATATATATATATATATATATCAATCAGCAGTTCAGCACAGATTCATTGGCAGAGCAGGAAATTTTATTGATCATGAATTAGATGGTTAATTTGCAAGATTCCAAGTACTTGATGCAAAAACTAATTGAGCATCTATCAATGAAGTTTGTGAAAAGGCCCAAAATTTTATTCCTTTAAGAAGTAGGGACTAGGAAATGCATTTTGCACTCAATTGTCCATTTTGATCAGTCAGTCCACCTACATCCCTACTTCTCCTGCAGTGGTGATCATGATATGATGATTCCCTACATTGGCACACTCCAATGGATACGTGATCTGAATCTTACTCTTGAGGAGGATTGGCGACCTTGGTTTCTCAATGGTCAAATTGCAGGGTTCGTTTTCAAATTTTTAGCTGTATTTAACAGTTGTTTTCTTTTTTTCCTCAAAATTTTCCCCACTAAGAGCCAATGCATGAGATTTATAAGTAACCAAATATTCAAGAACTTGTCCCTTTCAGGTACACATTGAAGTACCAGTTCCAGGAAGATCAGTGCTATCTCACGTTTGCAACTGTCAAGGCAAGACAAACTCTTTGGCCATGAGTCTTTTTCCTCAGAATATGCAAGGAAACATGAAACAAGTTAACATATTACTACGTTTGTTATATATTCTCAGGGTGGAGGTCACACTGCTCCCGAATACAAGCCAAAAGAATGTTTTGCCATGATCGACCGATGGTTCTCTTATTATCCTTTGTAGATCAAGAAAGAAAGGCTTCAAGAGAATATTTCTCTACAGTTACCAGAAAGATCCAATTCAAGATTCCAATTTTATTATTTCAATCATCACAGAAAATACTAGTAAGATGACCATTTGCAAAATTCTTTCTATGTTAATAAGGCTCAACATTTTCACCTTCAGTGATGTAAAAGAGTAAAATACTCTCGTTTGGTCTAGAATTTGTCAGTTCCGGGTGGAATGAGCCAAGACACACTATCAACTAGGAAATTGATGATTGAAAGGAAGTAGTATGCGATAAAGAGTAGTAACTTGTAAACCTCCTATCCATGTCTACTAATCTTTACCCGTGAGTTTGGTACTACCCCAATTTCCATCTCTTCCATATCCGATGGAATATAAAGAAATCGCTTTATCATCCAACCAGATGTCCTTAAGACATCCACAACGCTATTACACATTGTGGAGTGTAATCCACATGTCACGTCAGCATTACATTATCTCCTCTTTTATTATACTTTCACTCACAATGGATTACACTTAGCATGGGTCCACAATTACATCAAATATTTATTTTAATAATGCATAACTCATATCCCATAAATAAATAAAGTAATTTTTAAAAATAATTTTGTTATTTTTAAAAAATAAAGTACTAACTTTCATTAAATTTTTTACCTTTTGAATTTTTTATTTTCTAAAAATGATATTATTAATTTTTAAGTTTGAATAATATATCTTTTTCTATCTCTCAAAAATAATATATTATTATTTTTTCAAAAATAATTATGTAGAAAATTACACAGCTATTTGATACCTCAAGTGCAAATATATCATAATAATCCATAATTAATTAATAAAATACAAATGTAATTAGTTGAACTCCATAACATAATATTACATAATTTAAATCAAATAAAATACAAATAATAACAAAATGAATACAAGTTTTAAGTCATTTAAAAATGATTATGGATTCCACAACATCATGGTCCAATGGGAGACCGTGTCATGGAGCAGTGTAATGGCGTTGTGGATGCCCTTACACAGTTGATGGATCCACTCATACGGTTACCCCAATTTCTCTTCTGATTTTCTTTTATGCCTAGTTTGGGAGTTTAAAGAAGATAAGAGAAGTAGATAAAGTTTAGGTTAGAAAAACATTGGAGAGAAGAGAAAGGATAGGAACACTCTTCCATCTTCTTGGAGAGTGGTGGAAGAGAATATGGAGAGAAAAAAATTGATAATATGAGTATTAAATATTGGAGTTTGTCTTGATGTACAAATATGCCAATTCACAACCAGTAAATAACTCAATATCGCTTTCCTATAATTTTTACCCCTTTCGGAGAGACAGTTTAATTTCTTGAGCCATTCATCCTTCCATTTCTTTACTTTTCTCTCTATTTACACCTCTTCCTCTCTCTCTATCTCTCTCTGCCCTTCGTTAGCAAGTTAATAAATTCTAATATCTCCTGATAATATTCAATGTCAAAATTTTGAAATCAAATGCTAAAATAATCGGTGAATAAATTCTTAATTTTCAAGGCTGAGTGGTTGGCAGCTTCAAGCGTTTGGAAAATAAACAAATTCTAAACTAGTTAAGAGGAGAAAATAGTACGCATCAAGGAGTACATCCAATTAACCGGATTACACTGCAGTGCCTTCAAATTTCTTAAAGCAACACACAAATATTAAATTGTGCTACTTAGCATTTGCCAAATTATTAGAATAACGCCACTAATAATAGAGGCAAACATAAGAGTCTATTTAACGCCACAAATCATTGTTTGAGTGATGGTAATTACTCAGAGAAACAATTATACTGGAACATTCAAAACCAATCACTAAATTGAGCACCCTCGTGTTGTTGAAACTTTACGGTTTAATTTTTATTAATTCTTTAGATTTGTAGCATTGTTCTTTAGATCTTATTGTATCTATGTATGTGTGAAGTAATTTTTGTCATTAGTGTAAATTTAATTTAATGAAAATATGGTGTTTTATCCAAAAAGAAAAAAAAAGAAGAAGAATAAATGAATATCTCAAATCTTTGAACTCAATTAATTAAGCGTTTGGTAGTCCTAACTCCTAAAGCTAGTCGTCCACTTTCTATCTTGAACTGCAATATTTCATTTCTCTCCTTAATAATTGTGCTCAAGTACTAAACTTATTTTCCAACCAACCAAATCAAATTAGAAGAGCTAACTTGACCAACCGGCCGAACATATATACGAAACAAGGAAATGGAATTGCGTAAACAACCAGGCTATTTGCTTCACTATTTGCCCCAGGCCTGGACTAGCTTCTAGAGTTCTTTCACTCCTCCTCTGTCCTCACAGAATTTGGTTCACATGCATGTGCATGAGTTTGCATTAACAGGCTTGATACTTAATTTACTTCTTCTTTTCCTTCTCTTTAACGTTGCAGATGCACAAAACATTGTGAAGTCCCTGCCAGGTTACCCAGGAGCATTACCTTTCAAACTTGAAACTGGGTAATCCATCGTTTAATCTCCTTCTTCTTCTCCTCCTTCATCGTTTAAACTTGATTGCATTAAACTTGTGGTCAGATATGTTGGGGTGGGAGAAAATGATAGCGTGCAGCTGTTCTACTACTTCATCGAGTCGGAGAGAGATGTCAGCATGGACCCTCTCGTGCTTTGGCTCACCGGTGGCCCCGGTTGTTCTGCTTTTTCCGGTCTTGTTTACGAAATCGGTATGCTCTCTGCTTTTTCCGGTCTGGTTTACAAAATTGGTATGGGTATGCTCTCTTGAGTCTCGTTCCAACTTTTTTCCTCTTTTAGCAGGCGGGGAGCTAGACTTAAGAAACGGACAAGACTTGTGGAAAACGGACAAAATCGAGAAACTGTTACGTTTATTAGACATTAGTGGGTGGGATGATTTAGTTTAGATGATGATAAAAGATTGGGATAATTCTGTTAATTTCACTGAACTCTCTTGAAGTTTTTAATATTACAGTTAACTCTGTTGATGATAAACAATGATTATAATAATATTCATAATTTTTCAAAAGACAAGCCATTGATTAAAAAGGGAAAAGGTAACAGAAAAAAAAATAATTCTTCTTGACCAGACCATATATTGTGGTCAAACTATTTCAGTTATAACCATTAAATTGTAACATTCTATCATTCAAATACACTAATCAAGGTAGACGTCTCCTTCCTTCTAGCATCAAATATGTTATTGCTATTGATGATGATGGAAGCAATCATCTTTGCCAACAACCCAATTATTCATATTATTGAGCATAAAAAAGCTACTGGATTACGGAAAAATATAATTTGATAGACTGTACTAAAATTATTATCCCAAACTTGCACTTTTGTTGATGTTTTGCCTTTTAAAAAATTTTTATGATTATTCATACTAAGGAAATTTAGATGAGGGCAATTTTGGGCATTCATATACTTTTTTCCGTCTTACGTCGTCAAGATGAAACCCAAACTTATGTACTAAGAGAGGTATGTGTAATTTTCAAAACGTGAGGAGAGCTGTCTAAAATTACTAGAAACCTCAAGGGAGCTTTCTGAAATTATCCTAAAAGATTTGAACAATAATAGTTTATTGACTACTAAGGTACTTTATTTACCATCCACTAAGCTGCAGCTACTTCTTTAAATGTAGGTCCTTTGTCTTTTGATGATGAACGTTACAATGGAAGCTTGCCTTCATTGCATGCAAATCCTTATGCCTGGACAAAGGTGCACAATTTATATCAGATCCATTAAACTGCTCTCAACATCTGTATTGAAATTTTATTTGTAATTTGCTGCTCATGTGTTCAGCAGATTGCCAGCATTATCCTTTTGGACTTGCCTGTTGGTACCGGATTCTCGTATGCAACTACTTCTCAAGGTTACTTCTCCTCCGACACTAAATCAACGAAGGATGCTTACCTTTTCCTGCAAAAGGTGACTTGAAAAAATCTCCCAACCATCAGTTGATTTTTTAATAATTTTAGTGTAGCTAGCATATCATATCACTTTGGAGAAGAAATATCGCGGGAGGGACCGATATTAATTGATTCTCTTTTTAATCTTTAATTGAATTGACACCCGAAAGATGAATAAAACTATGATGCTAATCCAATGCAGTGGCTGTTGAATCACCCCAGATTCATGAAGAATCGCCTCTACATTGCTGGTGACTCCTACGCAGGGAAAATTGTTCCAATGGTTGTTTTAGAAATATCAAATGGTGGTAATGCGATTATTGTAATAAGTTTTTCATGATGGAAGTAGCTTCCACCATGCTCAAAATGAAACTGATCATTACTCTGTTTAGGTAATGAGGCTGGATTGAAGCCACGGATGTCAGTCGAGGTGAATCCCTCAAAATACACCTTTTTTTTAAAATTTTTCGGTTTCAATCATTAGTTTGCTACACTTTATGCTGGCTATACTGATATTTGATAATTTTAATTTCTGTGTTTTTCCAAATCCTGAAAAAGGGATACATGGTTGGCAACCCACTAACGGATTCTAGGAAGGATGAGAACTGGAAAGTCCCTTACGCTCATCGTCTGGGACTTATATCAGATGAGTATTACGAGGTTTTACTTTCTTCCTCAACTTTCACAAACTTCCTTTAACCGTTGTGTGCTTTAATTTGCCTGTTCCACAGTCCCCAAATGATAGTAAATGTGATGTTTCATTTCATTTCATCACATAGAGATCCCTCTTTTTTTTTGGGTGAAAAATTGACTAGATCATTGAGGCTAGCTATTTAATTTCAGCGGGCTAAAAGTAGCTGTAATGGGGAATACATCAATCCAAGCCCAAATAATACAGAATGCTTGTTTGCTCTTCACCTCATTCAAGAGGTAAGGTGCAAAATACACGAGTTCTGACTATTATTTATTTGGCTTCAATTCCGTTAGCATCACGAGATTACAGCAACTCCTTCCTATGCAGTGTATCAGTGGTATATACCCAGCTAACATCTTGGAACCAAAATGTCAACATCTAGCATCAAGAGAAGGACTCCAATGGGATCAAGGCTATTTGGAAGAAGATTCAATTGATATTCTCCTCCCCTCATTCGATCAAGAAAAACCAAAGTGTCGGGTAACTTCTTTCTCCTTCCATTTTTATATGCACATTACGCAATTTCTAAGATTTTCTAAAACGTGATCTCATATGTAGGATGATACTTATGTCCTAAGCAGAGTTTGGATGAACGACCCAACGGTCCAAGAAGCTCTTCAAATTCGGGAAGTAAGTAAATCAAATGGGGGGATATCATTATCCTTGATGTGTTTTGGTTGTACCTTCTGATATTGTAAAATGACCAACTTTTCTCCCGTGCAATTACAAGGGTACAAAAGAACAATGGAGAAGGTGCAACAGAAGCATATCTTATGATATGGATGTTGCAAGTGTGTTCGACTATCACCAGGTTCTTATTAGGAAAGGATATCAGGCATTAATATACAGGTTAAGTATATGTCCTCTTGCCTCTCCTGACTTGTTACATTTTTTAATCGTTTCTTGTTCTCTTTAGTTACAAATTGAAGATCCGATCAACACAGTGCTTTTCTACAACAAGGACAAAATGGACAAAGATATAGATTCTTAAACAAAATTTTCTATAGTTCAACTATCATAGGAAAATATGCATTTCGTAAATTAGATTATCAGTTGGAGTAAAATTATAAGACCTGATGGACCAAATAATTGAGAGTTTATCTGAATAAGGCCTAATGATTTGTTCTGAAATTGCAGTTATAAGTCCGGTTTTGATCCCCATTGTGTACCCTATTTCTTTTGTTCCCCTGCAGTGGTGATCATGATATGATGGTCCCTTACCTTGGAACACTTCAATGGATACGTGATCTCAATCTAACTGTTGAGGATGATTGGCGACCTTGGTTTGTCAATGGTCAAATTGCAGGGTCAGGTTTCATTTCCACCTATATTCAACAGTTTCTTTGCAATATATACCAAAAATTGTGTGACCTAAGCTAACAGCAATGCAATAATTTGTCCTTACAGCTACACACTGAATTACCAATTCAATGAAGATGTATGCTGTTTCACATTTGCAACAGTAATGGTAAGAAAATGTTAACCTAATTCCTTCTTCGGATAACGCACGAAAGCATGGACAAAGTAATACTTTTCTTCTTGTTTTCTCAGGGTGCAGGTCACACTGCTCCAGAATACAAACCAAAAGAATGTTTTGCCATGATTGACCGGTGGTTCACTAATTATCCCTTATAGATCGAGATAAAAAAAAAAAAGAGTGTTCCTAGAGTTTGTAGGACTTACAATCACATCTATGTATTTTGTCCCATTCACCTTAAGACTTGATGTTGTATCAAGCGTTTAAGTTGAGATATCAATATTTGTGATTTCGTGATAAGCTTTACCCATTCCCTTTTGAAGTACACAAAATGTGTAAAATCCAAATGTGAATCGGCGGCCTTCTTTGCAGGCTGATTAATAGCATCGTACCTCTTTTTTCAAAAAAAAAAAAAAAAAAAAAATCAGTTGAAACCGTCAAAAAATCGACCAAACGCATGAACTGGTTGGATAATTTGACCTCGGTTTCCAAACTTTTCTTTCTTGTTTTTCTCAAACACAATACAAGTGACCTAACTTGTAAATCTTTCATTTATTATCAGGAATAAAAAAATATCGTTAAATCACTCACATCCTTAAACAATCTATAAATCAAGGGACTTTTAATTCCTATCATCTTATCAATTTAACATGGGAGATTCCAACTTGCATTAGAAAGCCATGTAGGCTTTTAATCCCTATCATCTTATCAATTTAACATGGGGATTCCAACTTGCATTAGAAAGCCATATTCCCTACGGAAAGCTCTCGAATTGGGTATATTTTGGTTTAATTTAGTTTTACAATTAGTTTAATAACTAATTGTCTCTGCCAAAGTATCTATTATTCGTATCTTTCCTTGCTCATCCTGATAAATTGCTGGTCTGAGGGTTCTTATTATGAGTTTTGTCTAGCATCTTATGCTTCCTGAAGAACTCCTGTTTGAGCAATTATAAGTTCTGGAAACGTTGTTACATTCTGGATTATCATTCAGGTGATTAAATGTGATTTTGCGTTCATCTTCTGGTTTCCCTTTTGCAGAACGCATATGACACCCTTTTCTTCATTGTGGACCTGCATGCGGTATGTCCATATCTGTGGACTGTGATTGTTGTTATGTTGCTTTGAACTGCTGATTAATCACACTTTCATTGTTTTTCTTGCTTCTACTGTGTTGTTTGGCATTTGTTAATCACTTGTTATCTCCTGTAATTTTTCTGAAGACCATAACTCTTTGTGTTTACATGTTTTCTGAACTCATTTATCCTTGAACAACCCATCTGGTACAAGGAAGCACTGTTTCTGAATATCTGGTTGTATTGATAAGCATGAAAAATTAATCATAGAGATAATTTAATGAAATTTAATCGGAATAAATAGCTGTGCATTTTTTTTTTGTCCTTAGAGCTTGATCAAAGATAGTTTTTATTGTGAAACTAGGCCTTATATCACAACGGTTTTCAAGTTTTTGTCCTGTCTCCTTGAACTTGCACGATAGACACTTGGAACCAATTCACTCACTGAAAAGTAAGATAATCATATACTAAGTCTGGAAATTTTCTGTCTTTAATTTGTGCTTCATCTTCATTCTTTTGACACGTGATTTGTTGCTGACCAGCTGAACTTTCACCTGGTAGCTATTTTCTTATTCAACTTCTTTCAACTGTGGGGGATATATATGCATGTACATATACATATACATACGAACACACACACACCACATACATATATATGTGTGCGTGTGTGTATAGGACATCAGTTCATGGTTTACTATGGTTGTGATATGGAAACGAATTATCTAATTTCAGTTTGGGCATGTTATTCATAGATCACCTTGCCTTATGATACACAACAGCTATCCAAAGCAACAAAAGAAACAGCAGCAATTTACTTGGCATGTGGAGTGGATCCCTCCAAGGTCTGGCTCTCTTTGTATATTTATTTATTTTTATATTGCCAATTATTCATCTCTGTAGGCTAAACCTAAATGTAGATTTTGTTTTCATGTTCAGGCTTCAGTGTTTGTGCAGTCTCATGTCCGTGCTCATGTAGAATTGATGTGGCTGCTCAGTTCTACAACCCCAATTGGTTGGCTGAATAGAATGATCCAATTCAAGGAGAAATCATTGAAAGCGGTGCGTTTTTGCTGTATGTAGCCTTTTCTATTGGTGTTGCTTTTGCCTTCTAAGCTTCTTGATAGTTCTTTTACCTATATTTTATATATGCAGTTAGGTAAATAGGCTGTCATTTAAACTTAGATACAATTATACCCTACCGAAAAATTGAAAGAAAATGATGGGTATCTTTATTTTAGAAAGTGGTAATCATCGGACAACTCTCTAGTTACAGGTCTGCAGCAGCCTTGCATGTTAATATTTTTGGGGACAGATTTCTTGTATGTTTAAATAGGCAAATTTACTGGGTAGGGTTCAAGATTTCTCATCGCCTACGGTCATATAGGCTGACTACAATGAATTTTTTGTTCAACCTTTCTCAGGGTTCTGTAGATCTTGGTCAATCTCTCTTCAGCTGAGTGGACCTAGTCCAAATTATTGGGTTTAGTTGTCAAGAATATTGACCAAATACCTTATAGTTGGAAGTTGTTTGATACTAGTAGTCGCCAGGCACTGGGGTTTCACTTTATTTTGCTTTCATGGTGTTGCTATTTTGTTTTGATTTATCTCTTCTGTATGTAGGGAGATGAAAATGTTGGGGTTGCTCTGCTGACATATCCTGTCCTAATGGCGTCTGATATTTTGCTATACCAGGTGGGTTGTCCTATGCTGCATTTTTGTGTTAGGGTGTGGGAGAATTTATCTTTAAAGTTGTGCATATGCATGTTCATTCCAAAGTTGAAGCTGCATTTTTGTGTTAGGGTGTAGGGAGAATTCATCTTTAAAGTCGTGTATGTTCATTCCAAAGTTGAAGGTTACATTTTAAAGTTCAGGGAAACGACGCAGGCTTCCAAATTAGTTCTTTTGTTAGATTTTTTTTTCAATATAGCATCAGTAGAATTTATATTCTGTGCGGTGAAGGCTATTACTTCAATAATGTTGCTGCCTATACATCTTGATGGTAATATCCTGAGGATCCATGATTCTCATACATCGCAGCGTTCCCCTGCAGTCTGATTATGTCCCTGTTGGGGATGATCAGAAACAACATCTGGAGTTAACTCGAGAACTTGCTCAGCGTGTTAACTATCTTTATGGAGGAAGGAAGTGGAAGAAATTGGAGGGTAAGGGACAAGTTTTGCTTAGGGTCGAGCACCTGCTGAATATCTCATTGAGAATTTCCTTTGCCTTTCATTTGATGCAGTTACTCATGGTTTCAAATTTTTGTTACAGGCGAGGTGGTGCAATTTTTAAGGTGGCTGTTTTCTTCCTTATCTGTTTGAGGGTTTTACGTATATTCAGTTAATATGCGTTTATTTCTGGGAATGACTCATGTGATATTGCATAATCATTGTAGGTTCCGGAACCCCTTATTCCACCTGCTGGAGCTCGAGTCATGTCCCTAACTGATGGTCTTTCAAAGGTTTGGAGTTTTACAGTTATACTACGTTATGTTATTTTTCTGTCTTAGATCTCACTCTGTAAATACAACACCATAAAAGACTTTTTAAATAAGGCTAAAGCTTGGGTAGACCTGGTCTTCAAAGACCAATGGCCCAGATTGTGCCACATCGCTTGGTTAAAAGGGAGATATTTCTTATTTGAATGTTTTTCTGCCCTTTGTCATTCTCTGGTTAAAGAAAATGAGTAGGATGGCATGGGCAGCTGCACTGTGTGTGTTTGTTGCGCCTCATCATCCCCTGTTGAGGCACCTGGAATCCTTGCTATGTGAGCAAGCACTCGCCTACCCTGCACCATTGCAACCAGAACTTGGGAGCACTATGACAGATTGATCTGATTGAACTGAGGACATAACTATGAGGGCCTTAGACGAAGTAAATGGGTCCTTAAATTTCTCTCTCTAACACAACTCTCTCTCTCTCTCTCTCTCTCTCTCAGAGCTCCCCCCCCCCCAACAATATTAGTAGCTAAGATGATGTGTTTAACTCTGCAGATTGCCCTTTTGTTTTGTTCGTCAACTTGAGAATTTGATATCACATAAATGGCAGCAACATGCAATGGGACAATTAAATATTGCAGGACTCTAGTCTTCATTGGTGCTCTATTTTTTTCAAATATTTTTTGTAATTGCTGTTTTTGATACTCTTTATGTGACTGATTTATTTTTGTTATAGATGTCCAAATCGGCGCCTTCTGATCAGTCTCGAATCAATTTGCTTGACCCTAAAGATGTGAGTTAAATTGGTTTACTGCCTTAATGTGCTGCTAGTATACCAAGTTTCTGCTAGTATACCAAGTTTTCTGGAAAGTCAATGTCAATGAAGTGCTGAGTTTGAATTTTTTGAGTTCCATTTGTTTTTATGTGGATGAGATAATCTTATGCCTGATTTTTGTTGTTATACATTACCTTATGGTCTGATTTGAACTCTTTTGCTTTCCATAGGTTGTCAATAATAAAATTAAGCGTTGCAAGACTGACTCATTTCCTGGGTATGTATTCAGTGCCTTACTGACCTTAGTAGTTGGAACAATTATTTGATTTATGAAAATACTTTTGCATTCATTCTTTGCTTTTTGATTCAACAAGCTTGTTCAGATTCATTTTTCTTTTTCTTGTGCTTGTTTCTCTGCGGTGAATTATGCAGCCTGGAATTTGATAACTCTGAAAGACCTGAATGTAACAATCTTCTCTCAATTTATCAGCTCGTCACGGGGAAGACAAAGCAGGTTCAATACCTTAAAGCATAATGTGTATTTTTGCTGTTGTAGGTCCTATATTAAAGTGGACCCAATGTGAAACTTGTTTATTCATGGAATGATTATGTAGTATCTGTAATTATCAGTTTAATGTCTGATACATGGGCCGATGGCCCACATGATATTAACTCAATTTTTCAAGGGGGAAAGCTCATTATGGTAGCTTGCTACCAGGGACTCTTGAATGTTGCCTAGGCCTTGCACTACGGCCTTTGCGTGCACAACCCACCTAAAAACAAGACAAAAATTTAAAAACATAAAAAAAAAAAGAAATAAAAGTTCACAAAAAACACCAATAATGCGAAAGGTTATTGCATCTTATTTTGACATATTTTTAAACGTTTATGAAAATGAGATGCAGTGATTGTGATTCTAGAAAAACAAGTGACACATGTTTTCAGATTTTTTATTGTTTTATGAAAGATGTATTCATGTCTCCTTATCATGCATACAACTTTAATCCAATCTTTTAAAAACAGTTATACGCTTTCATTTATAGGTTCTTCTACGCCAGTGATCTTTGTCTTTCCTCAGGAAGTGGCTGAAGAATGTCGAGATATGAACTGGGGGACGTTCAAACCCGTCCTTACAGATGCTTTGATCGCTCACTTGCATCCCATCCAGGTTTCTGTTCTTACATTAGAATTTTCATTACCAAGACAGACTATCAGATATAGCCAATTAGTCATACTGATTCTCTGCTCGGGATGTGAATACTTTTCCTAGCATAGGGAGTAAAAATTGCAGAGTTAAAATTGAAGAGTAGCCGCAACACTATTTCAGGGCTGTGAAATTATGTAGAGAGGCACGCCTGCTTCCCCAGGATCATGACAATTATTTTGCCGTGTAACCTGTATATGTGTACTATGTTTCTACCATCCAAATGCCCAATTTTTTTCAAGCTAAAATTTGTACTGCTCTTTCTCATAAGCCAAACAAAAATTCTTTCTTCCATTTGTCCTTCTCTGAGTTCAAATTTTTTTTCCCTTGTGCTTCAATTCACGTTTGATATGACAATCATGTATTCTCAGATGACTGATTATATCCTATGTCATTTCAACCTAATTAATTCTTCATAGTTGGCCTTACATTTTCTTCTGCCTGCACTGACTGGTACTTTATAGTGGATATGACAAATAAGGCGTGTGCATCACTAATTATAGTTTATAACTTTTCAGGTTCGATATGGGGAAATCATGTCTGATGCAAGTTACCTAGATTCAGTGTTGGCTGAAGGTGCTAGAAAAGCTGCAGACATTGCAGATAATACCCTCAAAAATGTGTACCAAGCTATGGGATTCTTGCGGTGATAAATATAACCCATGCTGCTTCTGGAACTTGCTGAAAGGGTCAGCTCGATAGCAACCTAAAAGCTCACTCATCAAAAGTTCAAATTCCATATTCTCCAACATGCATTATCATGAGCTCGTTACTGTTGAGGGGAGAAATAATTTATCCAAAAAGGCAAGCATTAAAGCTTTTACGCTATCCTCACGCCTCCCTTTTAAGGGCGTGAATAGATGGATTTTGAACAGTTGATAATTCCCTTAATTCCCTATTCTTTGAAATCTATACCGTGATTTCTGATAGGAGTTTGCCTTTATTGGTATATACAAAACGTACACCTCTTGATCATCCTATAAATCAATGTAAATTGTAGCTGCAATTCCAGATGCAGTATGTTATGCCAATTGATGGTCAGTTTAAGGATTTAAAACACCTTTGCTCCGTTCCACTTGAATTATCTGGCATAATCCAGCTTTAGCATCCCTGGTGCACTTCTTAAAAGAAAATGAATGGCATTACAATTGGAAGTTCAATTGTCTCTTGCTGAATTTTAGTTCAACGTGCCTTGTAATTGCAAGTTCTGGTATACTTTCCATCTGCTGGTTCCTTAAACTTTTTCTTTTTAAAGGGTTTCAGATGTGCCGAAAGCTCCTCCTCCATCACTTTTTCGTTTTCAGGTTTTGGGTCCATGGTAAATTGTTTTAATCTTTGACTTGAAAAACTAGACAGAAAGGTGAGAGAAAATCAAATAAAAGTGAAAAAGGCAGGATTGGAGGAGGAGAGAAGAATCTATGTCATGCTCTTATCGTGTGGCATGGAACTTTTGGATGTGGACGTGAGGAATTTTTGTTCGGAGCTCACTTATAAATGTGAGCCACGTTGAAATTTGTTTGGAGAATTGCCACATCCTCCCTGGGTTCCTTATCATCAACATGGGAGATGGTGACTGGGGAGGAAGAATATCCATCTGTCCCAGTAGAAGGAAGAGGAAAAGTTTTAATCATGTTCTGATGCCCGATTAGTAACCCACCCACCTAGAGCTTTTGAATCTTTTAGAAAGGCAAGTAGGAGACCACACAGCTCCATTTAGCGTGAAAGAGAGGTCAATGGTCCTCCTGTGAAAGCTGTAATTTTGCTACCACTCTCTCCTCTAACCTCTTGATGGGCGGCAAGGGAATAAAGGGTGTAAATCTCATTCAGTTACTTTTGCTTTGCATGATATGCTGGGATAGCTAAAATGGATCTTCAACAGTGTCGGGCAGGACAAAGGATTACTGTCTGCTAATGTAAAGGATGTGCTCTTTTTCAATGATTACTGAGATTCTCTCTTTTATCTCTTTGTCATAGCCTGGTATTAACTCATTCCTTGAAACTTTCCACTTTCCTAAGTTACTCTTTCTTATTGCGTTAAGTTTACCCAAAGTAGATAGATCTTGAGTTCCTAAAGCAGTTCATTTTTGGCGCAGAAAACTGGGTCATATGCAGTGATTATTCCTGCTGGTCATATGATGGTCTGCTTTTACGTTTCCTGAAGAGACATGTTGTCGCTTCCGGTTACAAAGCAGATTCCCTCATGGGTGGTCATGGACCGGGGGTTCTCGATCTGTTCATCTGAGTTTTTTTTTTTTGTTTAATAAATTAGTGATTTATAGGTCGGTTTCCATTAGTTTTGAACTTCTAGTATCAACCTTTGGCTGTTTAATGGATTTCTGAGTCTACTATAAAATTGTCTTGTTTCTCATAAAACCATTCATTAGTACTCTTTATAATAAAAAAGGGACAGCAATCACTGGTATTCAGTATACATTCTACATGGTTATATTACTAATCTCACAGTGTAATCTTGAATACATGAAAGCATGATGTGCAAATTTGGATGGGTATCTAAGTTTTCTCTATACCCGAATGTGTGTGTATCAAGTTTGTGCTCTATCATGTTGCCTGTAAAATATACTATATATATATATATATATGCTTTTTGTTAGGCTAGTAGTTGTACATGCATGCATGTATTGTATATACATCTATTTACATATTTATGCACATACATGCATGCATTTCAGTTTAAATTCTCTGTAGCTGTTGAAAATCTGAAGCAACCATAAACTGACCGTACTGTAATCAGACGATTTAGGCACCCTGAAACAATAGTTCATATGGACGTGCGTTGCATAGCACTCGTCTGAGTAGTTGATTGCTCAATTTGATTTGTAAAGTCAGCCGTGGTTTATTCTGCATCTTGTTGTCAAATTACTAGTAATACTCTATTCATGCTGACTGAATATCAGGTTTTGCATAGCCAGTGAAGGTTTCCTGTTTTCAGTAGTAGCACTGTAAGTAGGAGATGGCCACTTTTCGTGGTTGATTAAATTGCACTACTATTTCCGGGATGGTCGACCATTCCCTTTCTGTGCCAAACATGGATCACAAATAGGTGATTGGATAAAGTTGCAAATTTCCCGATTGGGGAATCATATTATTATTGAACAAACACTACTACTCTTTTTCAAGTATGGTTTGAATTTATGGTTCAAGTCATGTTGCGGCGAGAGCACAAAGCATGTTTTCCTTAATTTGAACCATACTTCAGGAATTAAATAATTTCTTCTTTTTTTATTTTTCTTTCAATTTATCTAATTTTTAATATTCATTTTTAAGATTTAAAATAATTATTGATTCAAAACTATTTATGGAAGCAAAGATATGGTTTTTATAAAATAATAAGCAAAAATTTTTTCTATTTTTTTGGATTGCTTGAAGGTTAATAAAATAAAAATATGTTCTTTTTTTAATGCAACATGATCTCAATAAGGGCATTTTCGGCATTAAGGGGGGTTTTGTTAAATGTTTGATCATTTAAAGGGTGAGATCGTTATTTGGACAAATTATAGGGATTGATTGGTAATATGGTCAAATCTCAGGGGAGGTAAATGTAATTAACCCTTATTTTATCTAGGTTGAGTTAGACATGCATATGCAGCTATAAGTAGATGCTAATGGGCTTTGATTTATGTACATTACTACAACTCCTTCAAGTTGCCATAAATTTTGGTCGGGTTAAAATTGATTGAAAATTTTGATAAAGTAAAAAAAAGGGACGAATTCAATAAAAGTTGTTATGAGCTAAATATATAAATATCCTTGGAACTATTTGATAGGATTGTGACAAACAGTACTAGCTTGTGTGGTATTTGATTGATGGCAAAGCATGATCGAAGTGATTGAGATCAATCTTGCAAAAACAGCTACCTACGCATATTGATGGGGGATGCCTAGGACCCTTTAGAAATATGATCTGAAATGCTCCTCCTCAAGCAGGCCAAACCTCTTTATTGGGAGAATACATCTCTCTCAAATTAGCTTTTGAAGTTCGTCTGCAAATTTGCGAGCCTACTGTTTTTTCTCACATAAAAAACCTCCATATGATTATCAATTCTAATCATTGGAAAGGCCATCTAGAAATTAAAATAACAAATGTAGACATCTGTGCGAGTGCGACGAAACAATAATATAATCTGCAATTACCATCCTGTCCACCTGCAAGATTTAGCACATTTTTAGTTTCCACAGTCGTTCATTGCGAAGATCTCAAACTTGACAGTTGCTTGGAATCTACTCCCCTTCTTTTAGCTTTTTTCTGACGGCCAGGTAACCTTTTCATGAGTATCTCTTCTTTTCGTGACCTGGAAAGTGGCTTCACCAATTGTCTTTTGATTCAATGATGCCAATTCAGAGGGACTAACAGGAATCAAGCAACTGGATCAGTTTGCTTGAGATTCAACTCTGTTATTATTCTGTCAAGCCTCAACTAACAGGAACGCTTATATTGATATGTTTTTTCTCTATCTCTCGGATCAATATGAGATATAACACTTTATTCATGAATCTAACAAATCTCTTTCTTTATGAGTACCCCTCATATTAAATCCAAATTTACAAGCTCTTTTTTGAATTCAGTTTAATACTCAACACAATCTCACCTTATCACCTAAAATCACCTCTTCTCCCAAACACAGACATACTCTTTTTTAACATCCAAACTGTATTTTAAACCTCTGCCAACCCTTGATTCCTTGGTTTAACACCAACTGGAACCCTTGCCAAACTCATGACGCACTTGGTCCAATACTAACCAAATTCTTTGGCACTTTGATCCACCACTAAAAAGAGAATTTTTACCAATCCAACTCCGACAAGAATTCACTTGTCCATGAGTGGTCCAGTCTCGCAACCTGAAGTTCTGATACCTATTTGATATGAGAGAAACACCTTGAGAGAGTCCACTAAAGAACCCAATATATAAGTCAGGAATCCAACATTAATCGAAAAGCTTAATCCATTAGGTTTTGGGCCCTTACTTACATATTAACTACTCTTTCTCTATCTCTCGGACTAATGTGGAATATAATTCTTTACTCGTAAATAGAGCTGTTAAACGAACTTAGCTGTTCGTTAGCTCGGTTCGTTTCGGCTCGTTCGTGCTCGTGAAAGGTCGCGAACGAATTTTTTGTTCGATTAATAATCGAGCGAACGACGAACATGTTCGCGAGTTTTAACGAACGTTCGCGAGCATGCTAAACGAACGTTCGCGAACACGAGTATGTTCGCGAGTTTTAACGAACGTTCGTGAACATAGACATAATTATCATTTGACAAATTTTAGGGTTAATTTTATGGCTGGACTTTTATATTTGGAGAGCAAATTTCTTTGTTTTATTTGTTGTTTTTATGTTAATGTTAGTTATATAGTTAATGAATAATAGAATTTAGTCACTTAGTGCTTTAATTATTTTTAAGAATAATTAATAATTTGCATGGCATATTTAAAGCATAAAATAATTTGGATTCGAGCATTTCGAACATGTTCACGAACGGCTCGTTTATGTTAAACTAGCCGAACACGAACTCGAACTCGAACACGAATTTTACTTAACGAACCGAACACGAACACAAGTTTGGAGTTCGAAACTTAACGAACGAACACGAACGTTGTTCGAACTGCTTAACGAACAGAGCTCAAACATGAGATACTCGGTTCGATTCGGTTCGTTTACAGCTCTACTCGTAAACTTGACATATATATATATATATTGGATTGAGCAGTTTCTCATGACCAGCCACGTAGGATGGTGGATAATTGAAGATTTGAGTAGCCTATTATACATAGAAGTGGCATGTGTAAAAGACAGATGGAAATATGTCATCATATTATAAGCTATCATGGAAGTGGCACATGTAAAAGATGGAAATGGGGCAGGAACGATTGTCAGTGACAACCGTTCCTGAAGGTTCACGGTCACGATGTGACCTCAAAAATTTGTGCGGCTCAAATTACAGCATGTAACTCGATTTTCACGCCATGTGTGGAACTCACAAAAAAATGTTGTAAAATTACATCGTGTGCAAAGTAAATTACATCGTGTGCAATGGAAGTTACGCGCCGTGAAAAATGAACACAACCTGCAACCGTTTGTGCCCCTTGTCCGTAAAAGATAGATATGAAACATATTATTGTATTATTTCCTATGAGATAAAACAAAAATCATTCTCGGAAAAGTTACCAAACAAATGGAGCCAAAGTTTTTTTTTTCTTTTTAAATTTTTCAGGATGGGAGGGACGGCGGATTTGAAAAGTGGAAAGGAGAAAAGAGAAACTGTTTTCTTTTCAATTTTTTTTTTAATAAGAGAATGGAGAGATTTAAAAAGCGAAGGACGGAAGATTTGATCGTAGCCAAAGTTATCAACACACACAGTGAAACAGTGTTGCATCTCAACTTTATCTGGTGGATCACATCCATGTGGTGAAGCAAAAAGCTACAGTCCGAAATTTGTTCTTTTGGATTCACTAGTTTTTCAAAAATTAATTTTTTAAATACTATTAAAATTTTTTTTGGTACGAAGTTAAACCTAATTGGTCTTTTTTTTTTTGGTACGAAGTTAAACTTCATTGGTCATTTGATACTTTGGACACAAATGGTGTCCTAGCCGAAAGCTTTTTTTTTCTTTTTTTAGGAATCTTGACGAGAGAAGCTTTTTTATCAGATTCCATGTGAATAAATGTGAAGGATATTGTATCTTATTCTCGTGGATGCCCACATATCTAACATCCGATTCTGAGTTGTGGTTTAATTTGCAGGGCTATCTTGATGAGCAATTTATTCAGCTGGAAGAATTGCAAGATGATGCTAACCCTAACTTTGTGGAGGAAGTTGTCAGGGTTTTCTACAATGATTCAGCAAGACTGATCCGTAACATTGAAATGGCAATGTGAGAAAAATCCCATCCTTAATAATTAACCTAGTTTCTTGGTTTTGCATGCCAATTAGTAAATATCAATCCTGTCAATTACATTATTGTTGTGCAGGGGGAAAAACCCTATGGACTTTGGCAAGTTGGATGATGTCATGCACCAGTTCAAGGGTAGCTGCTCAGGGTAAACTGTAGTTATTTGGAAGTAATCGTGTGCTAAAATGGCGAAATAGTGAGGAGCTAGAACAGTGCCCTTGTTCGGTTTGCAGTTTTTCAAGAAGGAAAAATTTTCATGAACCCGCCTTCTAATTATTTTTTTAATGTATATGCATCAAATCGTTATAATACATTTTTCTATAAAAACTCTAAAATAATAATTTAAAAAAAAAACAATTCAAATGGGATGTGTTCATCCATCCTGGAAAAATCGGACACTAATAGAACTTGATTGATATCTAGAGAGTCTTTCTTCATTATTCCTTTTTTTTTTTTTTAGTTTCCCATCAACAAATTTAAGAGCTAGAAGTGAAATAAA